CACAGGAGTGATCGCATCTGCAGATCAACACATTTATAGAGGAGGCCCAACGGTCCCTTCACCTTCTCCAGATCCTGGTCCTGTCTGTTCATCAGGGTTTTCCAGTGATCGTAAAGCTCCACGTCGTGGGTCTGAATGTCCTTCAGGGTTCCTTCTCTCAGGATGGAGCCATCCTTCATCGCTATGATCTGGAAGAAGATAAAAACAATATTTAAATATTTTACACTAAAGTCTAGGGATGTCCGATAATATCGGCCGACCGATATTATCAGATGATATTAGCTTAATTATGTAATATCGGTAAGAATCGTTATCTGGTTTTTAATGAAAACCCAATAACGCAAAATTAGTTTTGAAGTGAAAGCGAAACTGAAAGTGAAACCATTATTTGTATTGTGCACAGTATTGTCCGGGTAACACGACACACCTCTGCACACGCTGAAATGTGAACTCTGCCTTTAACCCGAACGGCAGCACATATCGGTATCTTTAGATATCGGAATCGTAAATGAAATGTTCCGACATTATCGGCAAACAGTTAATATCAGACATTCCTACTTAGATCAAATTACTTTTCTATAAACTGTTTACAAATAGAGTGCAAAATCAAAAGGTGTTTGTGTTTCTGGTTCTGACCCAGTCCGCGTGGATCAGGTACTGAAGTTTATGTGTGACCAGGACAACGGTCCGTTTGTCATCCTGCAGGAATTTGAGGATTCCTTCCTGCATCAGGTGATCACTGAGGTGAATGTCCAAGGCTGAGAAGGGATCGTCCTGAAAAATAGAAGAAGAAAAAAACAATTTCAAACCGCCTCCTACTCTCCGTTGCTCTAATGCCCTCCATTATCTTCATCTCCTCTTCATCCTCACTCTTATCTTTCTCGGTCTTTCTTCTTCTACATCCACTAGTTCATTGTTTCCCAAACTTTTTTTCTGGGGACCCATATTTTTGTCAATAGACATTATTCCTAAACTCCTGAGAAACATGATGCGAAACGACCCAAAAAAATCTCTTGGGACCCACCTGAGGGCCGCGACCCAGTCTTTGGGGAAACAATGATCTATGAACAAGTGATGCAAATCGTTTGTTTCTGAGCTTGGAGTGTGTCTTCAACAAAGTAAAATCCATAAAAACAGAAGTTAAAAAATAAAAACTTCAATGTTTCAAGAAACCTTTCTCACCAAGAAAACGATGTTGGTGTTTTGGTACAGAGCTCTGGCCACACAGATCCGTTGTCTTTGACCTCCACTCAGGTTTATGCCCTAAGGAACAAATAGTGTGAGAACATCGAAAGAAACTAAAAAGAGTTAAACACGAAAACAAAGATAAGGCGACAGGCTCACTCTTTCTCCGATCTCAGTTTGGTCTCCGAAAGGCAGCAGGTCAATGTCCGGCTGCAGAGAACAGGCGTCGATCACAGCTTTGTACCTGAGGAAACAGTAACATCAAGTAAAACGGTTTTGTTTTAACGGCTGATACTGAGTCAAAGTCTTCATCTCCACCTCTGTTTGCTGAAGGGGCTTCCGAAGGTGATGTTGTCCTCCACTGTGGCATTCAGGAGCCAGGATTTCTGAGCAGCGTAGGCCACAGAGTATCTGTTCTTACTGGTGCATCGTGGGGGAAAAAAACAGGAGGGGGGGCAGAGACTTAAGTGAGACAAACTGAAGAAGAGGTTGAGTTTTCATAAAGCTGAAGAGCAGGAGTTCTGATCTAAAGAAAACGCCATGAATGATTCTTGTCACAAGAAAAAAAATCACATTCTTAATTATGTATTTATACTAAAATACTTCAAAGGATCTACAGTCTTATTTGTTTACACACCAGTTTCATTAGGTAACTAATGAAAAGTGTGTACAGTAGGTGTATGAGATCTGGCAACCCGAACTATTTACCGTATTCAACGAGGCCTGGGACGATAATCAATAATCAATTAATTGCACGATGAATGAAAAGTCGATAATTTCGCCGCCCTTGATAAATTGCGAAGTGCATGCGTTTTCGTTTGACTTATCTCTCGTCTCCAAACAGTCTGGACGACAAGAGGGTTCACTATGTTTATCAGTCTCAGCACCTGGGTACGATTGTTACAAAGCAGAATAAGCGGAGTGAACCTTCTTGTCAGTCCAAGGACTGGGTTGCGACCCTCAGGTGGGTCGCAAGAAATTTTTTTTGGGTCATCTTACATCATGTTTTCCAGGAGTTTACGAATAATGTCCATTGACTTGGGTCGCGAAGGTTTGTGACTTTTAAAATATGGGTTCCCAGAAAAAAAGTTTGGGAAACACTGCGCTAGCATACACACCCAGAGTGCAGCAGCCAGATTGGTTCAAATGTAGTGGTAACAAAAAAAGGCAACACAACAAACTTTCTTGTCGACCTAAAACTACACGGCCTAGTTTTCCCGAGTGGGAAAAAAAACGTAACCTCTGGGTGCAGAGCCTTCGTCACGAAAGTTAGACATTTGGTCAACAAAGTAAATACAAAACGGTCACAAAACCTGTTATATGTTTTCGCAATTGAATGGCGTGTCTGAAAGGCGTTCAGGTACCATCGGAAATTTAAGAATCGTAAAAGATTCTCATAAGAAATAAATGTTTACGACATCGGAAAGGGTGTACTTGCGTAGTAATGATATATTATCGTAATTTGGTGTCAAAATAATGTTGACAATAATATTGTTTATCGGCAATAATTTCTGGTAAAGCAAAATGTGTTATCGTCACAGGCCTGTACATCATTTTTCAGCTTTAATGTTAAAAAAAAAGTGAACATTAGATCAGTTTTCCTGAACAGATTTATGAAAATCAAGGCGAGGAGCAGACAACCACTGCAATATGGGTTCTTCTCTATGTCAGGTGTGTGTGATGAATAAAGTTAATGATGAGCCGAACTGGACCAAACATCAATCTAACAACAACAGCAACAACAACAGCAACTACAGCAACTGTTTTAGCAACAACGACGAGAACAAATGGCGAGAATAGGGAAATCAAATGTGAACAAATGAACAGAAGCCGAACGAGCACAGGGTCACAGAGGTGCTGAGGCAGGGAGCAGGAGGCGGGCAGGAGAGGGCGCTGTACCTCCGGGCGTCCTCGTCAAACTCATGCGTCTCTGTGCAACTGTCAACATCAGGTCAGTGAATCAGAGAAAGAACAAGAGCTCAGTGTCACGAGAAATCAAGAGAGAATCAGCAGAAAAAAATCAGAAATAATATTGATCGAAGACACACACAGAAGACAGAGAGTCAGCAGAAAAAAATCAGAAATAATATTTTTAAATGTATTTTATCAGGCAGAGATATTTTTAGTTTATTCTCATCTTAGTGACCACAGAGGAGAGCAGTGGACCAGCAGCTATGAGCTGAAACTAGGGATGGCTCGGTACAAGTTTTTCATGTCCAGTGTAAATACCAATACTACAACATTAAGTATCTGCCGATACCGATATCAATCCCGTCCAGTGTAGATGTACCAATACTGCAACTTTAAGTATCTGTCGATACCGATATCAATCCATTTTTTTGTTTAAATTTTATTTTAAGAACTCTCTATCTCTATCTCTATATTTATCTCTATCCCGCACTGGGGAAATTCTTGTGTTAGACTCAGGCGTGCTGCACCAAGTAGTGGTTCCTCTGGGAATCAAACCCAGGACTCTCTGCTCTCAGCGTGAAAGGCGGTTCGTGCTAATCGCTGCACTACAGAACCCATTAGTTCCGTTAAGTGAAGTCTTTAGTGTCTCTGTCGCTGTGTGAACCTGGCTTGAACCACTGAACATGTTCTTTGGAGCGTCTTCACCTCCAGCTTCTTTTAAATAAATGTATGATTCTTTGGCAGAGCCGAAGAGTCGGCTCACCCCGACGGGAGCGCTTTGGTCCGATTGGTTTCCGATCCCGAGTGTTGGATCGAGCCATCCCTTTGCTGAAACCACTAATTTCGCCTGTCTGTATAAGACCCAAATAAGAGGAAGATGAAAATGACAACAACGAAGACGAGAACTAAAATGTCTTATGTTTTTTACGACGAGATAAAGTCGCTGTCGACACAAAGATAAAGACAGAGAAACCACTGTATTTACTGCAGATAAATTAGTCTAGATGGTGAAATGAAAATGACCATGAGGATTTTTGTTTTTTCAGAAAGGTACCTGAAGTATCCTTCATGACACGTCTTAGGTTCAGGCAGCCTGACGTGCGAGAGAGCAGTGAAGAAGTAAAGACAGAAAACACACATAAAAGTAGGAAATTGCCGCACACACACACACAGATATCTTCACATCGCTCGAAGCTCCGTCAGGGGTCAAAGGTCAAAGGTTCCATCTTTTTAGAAGGCAGATTTACAGATTCCACCTTTAGTCACTGCTTCCTTTATTGAGAACCCAAAGGGGACGACCCTGTGGACCGAGTGACGTTAACGGAATGTCTTACTTGCTCCAGTGAACTCGTCCCTCATTGGTCTGCATCTCACCCAGCATGGCCAACAACAGAGAGGATTTCCCACAACCCACCTGGCCCACGATCATCGTCAGCTGACCTGAAGGAGAACACAGGGTTGACGCTCCTGACGTTGTCATTGGTTGGTTTAAGGTCAAACTTGATCACATGACTATTTCGGCCGCTCGTACCTGTGTGGATACGGGTGTTGATGTCGGACAGCGTGGACAGGTTACTGCCCCAGGTGAAGAATCCGTTAGTCACCTGACAACGACAGCAACGACAAACAACCTGAGTGAATACCATACCATTTAAAGGAGGCACAAATCAACCAATCAGCTCAATGAAACACTAACCTACCGAAACCTTATTTTACATGATATTTAAACTAGGTAACAGGAGACAAAAAAATAAAAAAAATGTATTGTATAAGCGATTCATATGGAGGATGTAAAATAAACTCATGGTACAGTAACGTCTGTCCCACCGTTTACATTCCTGAATTTCATTTTTTTTTCACCTCGTGTTTATTTTCTCTAACAAATCCCTGCAGCTTTCACTCTGTTGCTCCCTTCAGACCCCGGGACCCCCGATCCCCCTCGACCAGGGGAGACACAGAGGGAAGTCGACCTTTATTATTAAAACAGCTCGAAGTCTTGACTGGGTCTCATCAAAAAACAGGCTTCAAAAAAAAGAAAATCGCCAGAGATCAAGGACACTAAATGTCGGTGTTTTCTAAGTTCACCGAGCTGCAGGAGTTTAGGGAGAAAACAAACATTTTGGAAAATTAAATCAGTCAGTTTAAAAAAAAAAAAGGAGGAGGAAAGACGTTAATTTAGGAAGCAGGACAATTTTGTGTCGGTGAGAAAATGTTTTTTTTAAATCTAGAGGGGTTTTATATCACAAAATAAACACCTACAGTTGAAATAATTATCATTTTTATTTTATAGTCTTTTTATTAAGTATTACGTATTTAAATTATACTTAAATTAAATTGTGAAACAATGCAACTTCTTTAATACTACAACTACTACCACTATGACAATATTATTGTATATTTAATATTTAAATTTAATAATAATGACAATGATATTTTATTACTACAACTACTGCCACTATGACAATATTATTATTAATATCTTGCATTTTCTTTAAATTTAATAATAATGACAATGATAATAATCAACCTCCTGTTGTCTCCCAACTCCACCGAGATGAGACAGGAAGTGTCGCCTGAGAAAATCCCTGTTTTTTTTTCGTTTTGTTTTATTTACCCCTAAGACATGTCTGAGGGTCAACAGATTCTCGTGTGAATCCTTCACTTCCTGTGTCCAAACATGCACGTACACACACTGAGTAACACGTGCACACCAGCGATGGTGACAGGACAAGACACTAAACATCTGTTCACAGTCAGTCAGTGAAGTGGACACAGACTTCGTCTGACTGTTCTCAGAAGGAACGTTCACGACATGAACGTGAAGGCAATGAAATAAAACAAAAATATATTCAAATAATTGACTCGTCTGTGGATCAGACCTGAAGAAACCATTCAACCAACAATGCAACTAAACTGTTTCAACTGAAAATCAAATATATGGTACAAACAGAAAAGAAAAAAACCAATGACCAACTAATCAAATAACCAACTACACAACTACCTATTCAACCAACCAGTCATCCAACTCATGTCCAACCAACAAATCATCTATCCTCCAAAATCTGAAGAAAAAAAAAACCCTCATCAAATCAAACGTGAGTGTCTCCCTAACACGACCGTGGACTCTGACCTTCACAGCAACATCCTCAGTCTCCGAGGGTCTCAGGGGTCTTCTGCTGGGCTGCTCATAGTTGTCCATCTGGTACCAGACAGGCTTCTTCCTGTTGATGGCTTTGGTCTGTGACGAAGAACAGATATTTGGAGTTACAGAAAAAAGTTAAAGATGAAGGATTTTGGCTTTTTTTTCCCAGGAAAAAGTAAAGAAAAATCAAGGTATAATATCTATGATATGTATGATATATATGTAATGAACATGAAAAAATATATATATTAAAAGAATAATTAATAATAATAATTAATTAAAATTTAAAATATTGAAAACAAAATACAAAAAGTAAAGAAAACCCAAAAACGAATTCTGAGCCCAGTCTCAATAAAGTATTTTGTTCTTTCTTTCTATCTTGCAAAGAACTGCAGATCTATGACTGAGTCTCACTCTTTACACCAGTGTTTCTCAACCTTGGAGTAACGACCCCACACAGGGTTGCCTGGAATTCAAATGCGGCCGCCTGATTTGTCTAGTAATTGATAAGAAAAAAAAAAATACTAATAAAAATATTTTTGTTAAACTAACTCTGTATTTGTGTACCAAAAACATTTCTAGAAGAAAAAATGCCTCCGAGGTCAAACTGCGGTCACAGGCCAAACAAATGCCACCAGTCCATAGAGAAACCCAGTGTGTTTGGCTCTCAGAGACACAGCGGTTGTTGATCTAGCCTCCAGCAGTAAGTTCAAATGTATTTTTTTTTTTTTTTGTCTTCACTGTTTGGACGTCTTCACTCAGATTTATGTCAGTGACTCAAACTGACCAGAGGAGACAGCAGTAGCCCAGCAGCTTCTGTTTCCCTGGGAACCAGAATTAATGATTTCTCCATCGGCTTAAATGTGCGATCGAGTGAAACGTTTACCACCTGAAAATGTTCTGAAATATTTACGGACACGAGGAGATGTAGGTTTTACGTGTGCTTGGAAACACCCACCTGTCCAGGATGTTTCTTTCCTATGTCCAGTGGAACACATATGTCTCCGTTTCTCCAGCTGTCGTCTCCAATTTCATCACTTTGAAGGAACTCACCAAGCTTCTGGACACTGTAACACACACACACACACACACACACACACACACTGTTCTGTTTAACGTAGACATATTGCACTCTGTGTCCTATTAATGCCCAATCTTGATCTTCATCTTCTCCTAAATCACGATCATGATCTAAATTTAAATCCTTCTCCAAACTAAATGTTAAACCTCCAAATACCTATTCCAAAATGGCCAACGCACACACAGAACTATGAGGTGATACCAGGTCTCCCGGGAGTTTAGAGTTTCGCTTCACTGCCGTCGGGTTTCTTCCATGTTCCTTTAATTAGACCTGAATCGGATTCAGTTTTCTGACCACATTCAGGAGCATTCAGGGTCAGAAATTAAAACTGGCTCAAACGTCAGGCCCAAATAAATATATAAAATCTTTTAAAGCTGCCGGTAAATAAACTATTGTCGTTATAAAAGTCCTGCTAGGCTTCGCCAACATCTTAAATCTCACAACATCCATGTATTATAGTGTTATCTAACATGTCAGTCAACAGCAGTCCAGAGTATATATCTGCTGTACTCCCCACCAGCAGTTAGAACTGAAGAAGCCTCTTGGATGAGAGGTGAAACGTCTGCTTTTAGAAAATCCACGTCCAGTTTCCTAACCGAACTCTTCAACCATGAAATGTAATGAAAAATGAAAACAAAAAAAGCTCAAGCTTAGCTGAAGCTAAAGGACAACAGACAAACTCACGCTGACCTGACCAGAGCTTTGACGGCAAATCTGACAACAGTGGAGAGCAGAAAGAGCGGAGTGACCAGGATGTGAAACAGAGCCAATGCTGCGAAGGCCTCAGAGGGACTGGGTCCGGTTTTATCAGTGAAGTGATGAACTGAGAAAGTCTGCGATTAAAAACAAAAAGAGAAGAAAATCAGATTTAGCTTTCAGGAAAAAAAATCCAAGTCGTGAGAAGTTTTATCTTAAAGTGAATAATTTCCTGCTTACAGCCAGAACAGCAGCAATGGGAATGGCAGCATTCATGAAAACTGCGGAGAGAAAAGAAATGATTTGATTTTGTGATTTTCTATTTCTCTAAAGTGGCATGAGTGTAAACTACGCAAACTACAGGGGGTCGTCTGTTCACGACGTCCTCGACCTGTGGTGGTTCACGGTTACATCGTTAACATCTTGCAAACATTTATAAGGATATTCCTGCCGATGAATACGCCGTCATGTATATGCAGATGACAGCTTTGTTTACATTCTCTTTTTTGTACGCCAACGATTGGTTTGTGCTACATTTGTGTTCTTTTGTTTGTGTTATTTTTCTTTGGGATCTTTTTACCTTTCTTTATGGCTCCCAAGCCTAAGTCAGACCCCTCTGATGTTTTTATGTCCTAGACCAGGCATGGGCAAACTAAGTCCCGGGGGACCGGATGCGGCCAATTCAGCTTTTTAATCCGGCCCGCCAAACTTTTCCAAATTATATAATTCATTTATATTATTATCATTATACTTCTGCATTTTCCCTGCAATACCCACATTTCCCTAATAGATGGCGTAGAAAGTGATCATTTTAGCCTTTATGTATGACTGTTACATGTCATTTATCAGAGTTCACACGAACGCTCCATCTATCTGCTCCTGACTCGGCCCAAGCCGTAAGTGAGTGACATAGGAACTTGTGTACAGTATTTGAGTTTCGACTTACAGCGAAAATTGAGCTGGGTCACACCGTAGGAATCTCTGGATCTCTGACGTGTATTTCTATTCATACTTTGACTAAGACTCAAACGTCAAGGCTCAAATGCTACGTTTTTATGCGACTAAAAGGAAAGTGATAGTTTTCCTGACTCTGACAGTCTGAAATACCATCATCAGTTTTCATAGTAGCACACAAATCTTCTTGCTTCTCTTACTGGACATAGAGGTATAGAAAGCGAAGGTCCTAAGGCAGGCGAGCTCTTTACCTCTGGTCTCCTCGACACTGTCACAGAAGATCTTCTCCCAGGCGTAGAGCTTCAGCAGCTTGATGCCCTTCAGGATCTCTGTGGTTTTCTTTAAACGGTCGGTGGAGTGTTCCTGAAATTACACACACGTAATAATAATAATAATAATAATAATGATAATGATAGTTACCTCCACTGGGTTCAAGAACTTGGTGACTCGTGACTGACACGATCACAGATGTGAAGACTCACCAGTGTGCTTTTCTGAGTGTCTGCTAATTTTGTGGCGATGAGATATTGAATAGGAGCCAGCAGGACGATAACGGAGGCTCCGATCAAAGCACTCCAGTCCAGTAGGTAGTAGAGCAGGATTACTCCCATCACAATCTGTGCACACAGAAGAACCTCAATGCTAGCACTGGCAAACAGCGCACGGACGAAACTCCATACGCGGTCGTATCTAGTGTCCTCTGACCTGCACAGGCATCGCCCACAGATTTGGACAAAGAAACAAGAACCACATCAACTGGTTGGTCTCTATGGCAACCAGGTTGTTAATCTGTCCCAGGGTCATCTCACCCATGGACATGTTGGACGTGGATAGACGTAGGATCTTGTTGTAAATCATCGCCTGGACAAAAAAAAAAAATCAATGTGCAACCTTAATGTTTAAATATTTGAATATTAATATTTGAATATTTTAGTGAAATAAATATTATTATTATTATTGTTGTTGTTGTATTAGAACAAACCAGACCTAAATCAAATGTACCAAATCATCTTTTAAAGTTTTTTTTTTTGCCGTGTCCCTCACCAGCAAAGCTCCTCTCATGTTGATGCCTGTTTCTATGGTAACGTAGTAAGAAGCCTGCAGAAAGGTTCTCTGCAGAATTAAAGCCAGAAAGAGCAGAACGGCCAGGACTGAGGGGTTCTGAAGAAGTTTGGACGAAGACATGAAGTAGACGCCGGAGTGCAGCTCCTGCCAAACACAGACAAACCAAAAGACAAACTCAAGTTAATGACTAGCGCTGTGGAACATTTCATTTTTAAGCAATCTTAGATCTGATCTGGTCCTAGATCATTCAAATCTCAAATTAGCATGATTATTTACAATGACTCTAGATCAATCAATATCCATTAATAACAAAACAATGCTGCTTTGGAGATCTCCGGGTTCGCTCATGCTGTACTTTTAGCTAAAGCTAAAGTGTTTGTTAGCCCATGTTGTTTGTTAAAGCTGTCAGTTTACTTATTTTAGTAGCTTTTAGTAGCTACAGGCTTTCTTGTTAGCTTAAATTGTTTGTTTGGTGTTTTTTTTCTTTTCTTTTCTCATTCTATTTTAGAAGCGTAAAGGAAAAGGCTTTCATGTTAGCTCATGTTGTTTGTTTAAGCTGTCAGTTTCCTTATTTTAGCTACATGCTTTGTTGTTTCCTCTATTGTTATTTTTAAAAAGCTATGTGTTTTCCTGTCCCCCTATTTTGGTAGCGTAAAGGCTTTCTTGTTAGCTCACATTGTTTGCTAAGGCTTTCAGTTTTCTTGTTCCCTTATTTTAGTAGCTTAAAGCTACAGGCTTTCTTGTTAGCTTAAATTGTTTGGTCTTTTTTTTTTTTTTAAAAAAGCCATGTCTTTTCTTGTTCTATTTTAGAAGCGTAAAGGTAAAAGCTTTTCATGTTAGCTCATGTTCAAGCTATGCGTTGTCCTGTTCCCTTATCTAGCCTAAATCTACAGATTTTCCTGTTAGCTCATGTTGTTAGCATGTGGGTAACGTGTTATGCTGTGAGCTTCCATTGTCAGCATAAAGTAAGAAAAGATATTTTCAATATTTGTTTTGTGACTGTGAAACAATAAATAAATAAATAAATGTGTAGCGACGAGGTAAAGACTAACCTACAATATAATCCACTTCTCCTCTTGTATCAGTTAGTACACATTTGTATATCATATTATATTGGATTCAACCAGGAAGTTATTAAACAGAAATGAGGAAGGGTAAAAAAAAAATTATAAAAAATATAGCTATAATAAATAAAGAAATAATAAAATGTAAAAAGCTTAGAAAGAACAGACAGTGTGTAAAGGGAGTGTAGAATTTTCCGTGTCACTCAGAAATGCTGCTGTGCTCTGTTCTCTGTCTCTGGTGACACACATGCACGCTCTGGCCCAACAACACACTCCAAATGTCAGCACTAGTACAAACAGAAACTACGCAGTTGCTACAGACGTTTCTGCTGTGTGTCTGCAGTGAATGAGGTCCCTGAACACAGACCAGTGCAGTTCTACTCCCTGGTTAAAGTGCCTACAACTCACCGTCATGTTCGATGCGCTGTCCTTTTCTACGACGTTCATGTGCTTGACAATGCCAGAGATACAGAGCGGACCAGCAAAGCCCAGAAGGTCGGCCAGGTAACGGAAGGTGCTGCTGAGAAGAATTGCGCGTCCGAACGCCCGGTACATGGATCGCCAAATAGAAGGTGCTCGAGTCGGATCCTCTGCCGTCTGTGTGAAGAAAAAGGGAGAGGGTGAAGCGTTGCAGTTGGAGTTAAAACGATTGCAGGTTCATGCCAGCTCACCCTCTGATCCTCGTAAGCATCTTTGAGCTTCAGGTAGTTGGTGAGAGCTCTCATGGCAATGGGCAGCTTTCCAATCTTCTTCAGCTCAATGGGTCTTTTATGAGCTCCGATGATGAGAGGATTCATCCACCAATATGTGGCCTGGGAAGATGAAAAGAACCTCTTACAAATCTCATGAATAAATTGTGCCTTGGGATAAACATTTGTTTTCCTTCACTTTGGGAGAGTTACATTTTTCATTAACCTTTTTACTCGTTCTCACTACTACACTACTTCTTCAATTTCAAACTTCAGATTTGCTGCAGTACCACAAATGTACCACCAGAGGCAGCAGTAGACCCGCAGGTTCTTTGTCTGTTGATTTGTGCCCGTAAATTTACAACTACTTTTACTTATTTTCAACTTTAATTGAAAAAACATTATCTACAGATGTAGTTTTAGCGTTTCCAAAAAAGTGATCTATTCCTAGATAGAATTGAAGGAATAAAGGCAACCATGTTTGTTTTCATTACTTTAGAGAGGAGGTTGACAAAAGGCTGCAGGAAGCGAACTCCCAAATCCTGCAGATCCTCTGGAGGCTTCACCTTCTGAGGATTCGCGAAGAAGACATATTTCTACGTAGGGAGACACAAACAAAAATGAACAAATGTAAAATAAATGTTGTACTAGCTAGCATGTAGCTAGCTAGTTAAGGGGCAGTGACACAGATTATAACGTCGTCATACGAGGTGCGTTCAAGTACCATTGGAAATTTGAGAATTGAGACTAGAGCAGGTTACGCATTGTACGGTTTAGAACAAATAGAACAATTAGAACAAAACAAGAAAAATAAGAAAATATCAAATAATTTAAGTCTTTCTCATCTTCTCCCCAATTTTCAGAGGCCTCCCTAGCGGCCCCTGTTGGCTCCCACTTTAAAATCCACTAGACTCGACTTCTGTACTTCTCGACTCCATGATATTCACTCATATGTTTCCGAAAACCACTAGACTCGACTTCTGTACTCCATGATATTCACTCATATGTTTCCCTTAAATAGGATTGTTGTTTACAAACTGGCACGTGAAACGTAGCCTTACTTTAACGAACGCTTACTTTCAAATATACTGTACATACATTTCTGGCAACTGCGAAACGTTCTACTGATGACAAATCACTTAACCTGGGCTCCTGATTACTCACCCTGACTCTGATGACGTTGATCTCCACAGCCATGAGTAACCCGTACAGAATCACCAGCAGGGCGGTGATACAGAACCTCAGGTGTTGCGGTCCAACATCTAACTCAGTGTATTTCCACAGCTTGATGGACTTGGTGATGAAAGCTAAGACCCAGTAAATGAAGAGGACTACGGCAAGAAAAAAGGAGTTCATTTTCCTGTCAAAACCAAACCAAAAAGCTGAGTATTCCTCACCTGTGAAGGGTTATGTGACTCACCGAGCAGCAGTTTGGGAAAGTTGGACGTCTCAATGTTGTGATAATAAACCACCGATGTCGTTGCTGCCACAAAACCCATAAATGCGGGTATGTAAAAGTGGAGGTGGTTGGTCGCCATCATTCTGGAATCACAACAAACAATATCTAAATAAGTACAAATTAAATCAACAACGACCGTGAAATCCCAAATGGCTACTCACTTGTTGGAGACAATTCCTTCTGCAAATTCGCACACGTGCACAAACAGCAGTGAGAAGGTGAGGATCCACCTGAGGTTGTGACCCGGAAAATGAAGCCATGTGTTGTGATGGATTTGAACCTTGGAGCTCTGACTCCCCCAACCTGACCAAGAACAAGAAGAAAACACCAAAACATGCATGTTCAACGGGATCATGCTGTGGTGATCGGCGTTTGATTTGGTAACTAAAGTTTAATAAGGAGAATTTTATCAGGTACCAATGAAGAGGATGGGGAAGGTGATGAAGAGCAGGAAGACGTGAGGAACCAGGTTGAGTGCGTCGACGAAGCAGCCATTTTTCAGGACGCCCTTTTCCACACTGTAGGCTGTTTCATCGTCATTGCCGCAAAACGATAAGGCCATGCCACCAGCAGACCGCCGCCCTCACACGCCACTGTACTCCGTCTCTGGAAATAAAGATTGACCTCAAACCCAAGACAAATTCCTTTTTAAAAAAACTCAAGCGCTGGTCTAGTGTTTGTTGACACGTTTAGATACGTAACCAGTGAGTTAAAAGATGTTAGCTTTAGTTTGTAATATCCTTTGACCACGAGTTCCAGGTTGGATCATGCTCATTCTTACTCTCACACAGAGCCCATGGATGTGATTTTAACTTTGATTTGAAAGTGAGTGGTTAAAAAACTTTAACCAAAAAAAGGTTTACTCAGTGGGAAAAAACTTTAAATATATATATACATATATATATTTTATAAATACATTTTTAAATAAAGAAGAAATCTCCTCCAACACAGTGGCACGAAATGTTTTCCTAGATGTTTGACTGTGAGCCAACGAATGAATCAATGAATGAAATTTGCTCCTAAGCCTACACGTTAATGATTGCACCAATTAAATAAACAGTACATTCCAACAATGAAAATGTGTTTTGACTTAATACACGCCCCTCGATAACAATCCAAATCTTCCTGTGTAAATGTACGGTTTGAAAATAAAAACACATCTATAGTGTATTTCTCTCACTGTTGGTTTCCTTCTCTGTTTAACACTGTTAATTAATCCTTTCTCAGTTTAGCCCCTGTCCTCTGTTGTGCTTTTGAATTATTCCTCTCAAGCCTAAGATAGTAACAGAAAAAAAAACAAGTCAAATGCCTTCTACAGTACGTGCTTTCTTGAGTAAGTGATTTTCTTTAGAAAGCTGAGCTCAGATCCAGGATTTCAAACTAAACTAAGCATTACGCCGTGTTGTTTTGGATACATATATGAATATAGTTTTGTACAATATTGAGCCTCTATAGTGATAAAGTGATGATAAAACGTGTGGTTTTCTATTTCTTTTAATAGAAAAATTTAAAAAAAATAGGAATTGATAATTTAATAGAAAAATAATGTTAAAAAATAATTTTAAAAACGTATGATTTTTCCAAAATTCTATCCTTAAATATAAGTTGTGTGTAATGTTTCAGTTTTAATGCAGATGAAATCCATTTGTGGAAAAAAGAGAGAGAAAACAGTTAGCTCAGAGCGCTAGCTGGCTGCTAATAATCTGCTCCAACAACTTTGTCATTTCTATTATAAAATAGCCATATTTTTTACACTTATTGATAAAACTGCAAAAAAAAAAAAACAACTGTGTAAATGTAATAAATAACAACAAAGTTTTCTCACCGTAAGAAGGTGAAATATTCCTCAGTGACCTCGATTCATCCTTGGTTGCTGCGTTATTATTTTAAAAATTAAAAATCAAAGCGAAAAAAAATCGAAAACTTAATGTGTCTGTTAAAGAGTGAAATGTTCGATTATTTTTAGCTTCTTTAAAGCATCAGCTGCTCAACATTCTGCTGCCCGAGTTTGTGCCAGAGACTTGCAATTTAACGTCAGCGATAAAAGACTTCCGGTAAAAACCTTCAAACTAAGAGCCTTACGAGCGTCGCATTCTACTTATACTATTATATTACTTTCTATTTTATGAGATTGGCAACATTATTTGCTAATAATTAATATACTGCACCACAAACATAATGAAAACAGAAAAAATAGAAAGAACAAACAAAACATTTAATACAAAATTTAAGATAGATGACTGTTGAAATAGAATTATATCAGCACGATAGTCTAATTTAATACTCAATACAATGTAATTAAATGTTATATTTTGACTCTAATTCTTAAATTAACACATTTTTTATATTCGTAATATTTTTCTGTTGTTGCCATGCTTATGATTAAAAAATCCTGACAAAAATGTTTTTCGATAGTTGCATTTCCGGTTTTAAATCGACGTTATTTACGTGAACTTCACAGAAAATCCATGCGATCAGATTTCCAAAGTTAACCCAGTGAGAAGTGGAGGGGGTTATTATGGGCTGCTTCTTCAAGAGCCAAATAATGTTTAGAGCCCACACCGCCTACCCACACATACACACACGGATACTAGATTAATTGCTCGTAATGTTACAAAAATATGAGTAGATGTGATTTGTTTTACTGCGTGTATACAATAATATTCATTAAGCTCTAGCTTCGTGTATTTCACTAACACAAACGGACTCCTTTCTAGTATTCGGAAAAATATTACGAAGACATGAAGTATATTGTTCATCACTCTCATTTGTACTTGTAAAAACACGGTCAAAATGTGCTATTGTTATTTGTATAAAACTAAAAGGCCGTCGGCATCAATGATTAGAATACACGAAGAACATTCTAGTAAAACTCTTAAATATTTTTAAACGTCCCGTGAGAACAGCACGCATTTATAGTAGTAACGCACAGTATAGATGTACACGCAACGTGAACACGACGCATTATTTCTTATCTTTCAATTGTAGTGTACCAATAAATGCCGAAATATGTCTTTATGTTTTGTTCACATTATGTGGCCTTAATTTTGAATTATGTAATATTCACGCTTTATCCACTGCTTAAAAACACAAACATGGCATAGCTAATGTAAAGCGCTGACCCGAGTCTTCGGCTATACCAGGGCGCCTTAAGAAATCGGTTAATATTGTCTTTACGCGCCTGTAAACCAAGCTAAATATTTTTGGAATCATTTTATTTACGCACACAAAAATACACGATGTCGGTCTCGCATTCGGCGTGAACAATTGTCCGATATGGGAAGAAGCGTAAGTAAAACTTTTTACTATTTTGAACGTCCCGGAGGAAACACCGTTCGTTGTATTTTGCTTAATGACACACATTCAAGGTGAGCTCAAACCGAGACCAGGTTGAATAAAGATCAAGTGATGCTTATGCTTATGGACTCAGGAATCTTTAATGACGCCGAAATCTAGATGTGCTTGTTTTTAGATGTCTTTTTTTAGTATTGTTCTCATTTTGCACCATAAGCACTTCAACCGGAGCCAAAAAATATTAAATTACGCGTGTTTATAACGAGGTTCGGCGACTGTAATACCTTTTGCATGAACGCGTCTTTACACTGAGCACATCAGATAAAGAACATTACTGATGCTGTGCTGTACATGTGGATGACAGGAGGACGAAATGGGATAGTCCTTGTCTGCACTTACCCGTACAATGATGCGGGGTTATCGGTTGATTCAGGTCAAATAGTCCCTTTGTCAAGGTTTTACACTGAAGGATAAGGACAGACAGGAAATGTCGGAATCTTACATGCATGTACTGGAATTATCCCTCTTCAGCAGTAGGATCAGCAGCAGCTGCATCTGTGCACTTTATCCCTTATGTGGAGGATGTTAGTTCCCGGCACTCTATTTTAATCAAAAAGCAGGGCGATACGTGAGATTGTAGGTCAAGTTAAAGCGTGTGCTTTTATTTTGTAAAGTCGTCGATTTAAAGGATCCTGCTATAATGTGACCACCTCTCAAAATAAAACTTTTAATTTTAAAAAAAATATACTATTTTAAAACACATTTATTTATTTATTTTATTTTTACACATACATTAAATTGATATTGATGACATTATCTTATTTAGAATTAATCAAATTTGTTTAAGTAATTATCCCACTGTTGGACTGTAATGGGAAACTCAAGTGTTTACACAACCTAGTCATATATAACAACGTGCACTGAAAAATAATCTGTGACGTTATTTTGCAGGAACACAAGAGGTGGTGGTTCACTGCTGCCCCCTGTGTTCAGATTTTGTCACTGCGCGTTAAAATCCTGGCTCTTCTCTACAGACTATTGGTGTGAGGGGGGTTGTAACGTTTAATGTTGGCCTACTGTATTCAGTCCTCAGTAAGACTAAGTGTTTGTGTCAGGGGACATGAGGAGGAAATTCCCACTAAACAGCAATTCCCAAGAAAGGAAAGCAACTTTAACCTTTAACCCTTTCTCTTCTTTCTCTCTGTCTCTCTCAGTGATTAAACAATCAACTTTAACCTTTGTGTCACTGAAGAAAGATTTAGTTGTGTTTATGACAGGAAGTCCCTCTGTGACAGACAGGAAGCTGGAACAAGATTAAAGATGACTGTACAGATGAACTTTGTGTGTGTGTGGTTAACCAGGCAGCGTGAGAAGTTAGCATCCATTGTTGGACCAATAGGCTCAGCAGCGCTTCAGAGTCTTTAGCAGGAAGTAAACAATGGGAATCAGTCTTGTATTAGAAGTATTACTGAAGTACAGTACAGTACATAAAGCTCTTACCTGTAATTAAACAAAAAACATATTCAAACATGTTATGGTTTAAACCTTTACTAGGCACCAAAAATAAAACATTATACATTGAATAATTTGTAACATTCTATCAACTACTACGTTCTTAAATTATTGTAACACTTTCGTTTCTATCTGACTTTTTAAACCTTTTCTAATTAGTTTAACACGCCAATGTGTTGTTTAGGCTAATGCTAATGCTACAATATATGAAGAACACAACTACTACGAAAAGCACCCTCAAATCAATCAAACCCTGGATAGTTAATAAATCATACAGTTGATCTGTGCTTCCTTTATTTGCCAGTTCAATAGAAATTAAATGGTCGAAAAATTAATAAATGAATCGACTAAAACTCAATTTTAACGTATTATTTACTGGCAGAGTGTTGTTACTCTGCTATACTCTAAATATTTAGAAATGCTTAAGTCACTTTAACTTTATGGAAAATTAAATTAATTGGAAATGTTTTGAAGATAAAGTATTGTAACTTGCATATGTTACGGTAATTCATTTACAAAAACAATAACAATTTGTCGGTGATTTACAGCTCTGTCTGCGTAATTTGACCTTTTACACGTAAAGAACACTAGAGGGGGGTGTTCACCCAATATTACAGCAACTACATTTAATTGTGCAGCAGTTAAATCACGTTCCTAAAAGAAAGCGCAGGTTCGTCAGCTTTGGGAACCAAAGGTTTAAGGTAAATGTGCGCAATGATTTTCAAACAGCGAAATCTCAAAATAATACATTTTAATTCAATGTTGGCTCAACAACAGCTGTTTACCCCTGAATGTCAGAGGTCAAAGCATTTCAAAGATGAGGATGAAGATGATGATGAGGATGATGTTTTCATTTATACATGGTTGAGCATGATTGATGACCACACACAAGAAGACAGAAGTCACAGGTTCATCATCAGGCTTATATTTAGGTCAGATGAGTTGACCTCTGATTTGAGCCTGACTCTGGTATGATTTTGAGGTTTCTGAGGACATAACGATATATGTCCCTATATATTGATCGAACGTCCACTTTACTTCCCATCAATAACCCCTGACCTCAACACATATGCACACGAGCAGAGAGACATCTCTGCCTCCACAGGGGCGACGTCTCTAGTGTTGTTGTGGCTGATATCAACTGTAACACTCAACAAAAGCTCAGGGCTAGGAATTATCCCAAGAAAGAAATTCTCCAGCAACAAAAACTCCATTGTTGCTGCAGGGAGTTCACGAACAGAGTCAAGAGGGGAGTCGACTCTACTCTACTCAACTCACACGCTTAACTGAGCTCGACAGCAACAGAGCCTTAAGCTCAGAATTTAACCCCTGAAGAGTTATTGCTAGGGTCAGAAGGTGCCTTCAAATATGCGAAAGTGCACTTTCACATATTAAGCGCCTCATCTGTTGAAGTCTGAGTGGAAAATGTGAGATAGGGCTACCATAGTCCAATCCTGAAATTAGAAAAGGTTGATCCCAAAATGACCTATGGTTAGTAACAATAGGTAGTCTATTAGCCAAACACTAAGAGACTAGCACAGAAAAATAAGCTGTTTAAAATGTTTATATTTTGTGTATTTTTATATGTTTATATTTTTAAAAATGTATTACTTTTATGTCCCTCCTTATTTGTGTCCAATACTGCCTTCTACAGAAACGATATTGAGCAATGCTGTCTTTTATTGTGCAAAATATCTTGAGAAATTTCATTGTGTATTTCACTGTCGTATTATGACAATACAGGCTATTTTGTTACATTCTATGCTACACTCCAGCCCTAGTCAATACTTACTGTAATGTGGGGTAATGTAGCATGTAGTGTAAGGTAATATAGGGTATGATTTATAATTCAGCATAATTCTACTTTATAATGTAACGTAATATTAGAATGTCAAAAAGTTAATATCAGAAATTTCATTATTCGATTTGTCACAAATTATTTAGTGTCATCATTTATTGAGGGGCAGTGATGCAGGGTCCGAGATGATCATATCTTTCATTTAAATTTATTTTTAATATTCTAATTATATTTTTTTCAGGGTCCGAGATTATCATATCTTTCATTTAAATTTAATTTTAATTATTTTTAATTATTATTAAAAAATAATATTATATTTTTTAATGTAATAGCGTAATTGAAAAATTAAGTTGATTTTACTTTTTCCCTTCACAGGAAATGGCTGCCCTTACTCTGAAAAAACACGCGCCCTTTTCCTACCTAACTCTGTGTAACTCGACCGATTCTTTCCCGCAGGAGGAAAAACGCACCCTCACTTTAGTTCAGGTCACAGCGCGGTTCTGTGCGCGTGTCTGCTGACAAAGGCAAAGCAGTTCCACAAACAGTGCTGCTACGTTTAAAAGTTACGGAGTGTGTGTGGAAACTTGCTTGTGACTGTTCGTGTGTGTGGGTTTTAGGTGAGCGTGTTCCGTTCCTAGTCTTGTTTTCGGGGCGTGGAGAAGCGACAAACACTCGCACACGCGTACGTGCACAGCCAAAGCCGCGGATCCACTTTATTGTGAAAGATTCGTGGGAACAGTATCTGCTACGGCGAAACTTCAGCCACTTCAGCTTCGTTTCGACTTGTTTTATTCCAACCAGGATGTAAAACCAATTCAGAAACTTTTTTTCCTTCTTCCCCCTTCGACACAAGATCGACGGGTTTCATTTCTTCAACTCTACATATTTGAGGAATATCGCCGGGAGAAGGACTACAGTGCGTGAGGAGTGTGTGTGTGTGCACACCCATTCAGAGGTAAGCGATACTGATGTTCGTTTGTGCCATTTTATCTCAAATAGTTCTGCTGTTTTCCTGTTTGAAGCCCAAATTGCTACATGTAGTGAAAATAATAGTGATTGTTTGTTTTCTTTAAACACACGTGATTCTTATCCAAACGTCCAACAGTTTGCTTTCTCTTGTAAAAATAAATCACATCAGCAAAGTCCACTAAAACACCAAAAGTCAACGATTAATCGATTTTTGTGGAAAGGCTTTTTAGTCTTGTGTGTCAATTGGAATTTTCCACTTACAATACAAGTACAATATGTAACTGCAACTCGACGTGTTAGGTATTTCATGTTTGGACGCTGTCACCAAACTCAACTTAAAAATACAACATTTAATTGATTAGCCAGTTTTTTTATGCGAAGGGCAACATTCTCCAAGTTTTTATTTATTTTGTTTTATATGGCACGTATTTACAAAAAAATCGGCATATATGTTCTTCACTAAATATCATGTTATTTGAGGGAAAATAAACTTTTGCTATGCTAGGTGTTAGCCGGGCGGAATATTTGTTTTGTAACTGGTATTATCAATGACATATATTTATTTACATACAAAAGCAGTCTGCTGTGCAAACATGTCACCAAACCCCATGTGCTAATAATGTGTTAGACTATATTGTTTGATGCAATTGGGTACTTAACAATAATAGGTACTCGTGACATTAAAATAGGTTTTGTGATATACAATATTTTAATATTTCGACGTACCCGTACCTATACAGTAGATTAGTAGGCATACACATATAGTAGGCACTTCTTTAGTTAACAACTACTGATATTGCTTTGTGTATGTGGGTGTATGTAAACAAAAACAATCCCCTCCCGCAGTTTGGGATGGTGGCACCAAATTCAATGTCGTGTAGTGACACATCGACTTAGCATTGCGATTTTTTTCCCCCCATTAAACTGTCGATACGATTTCCATATCGCTCACTGTCTTAGTGGCAGTTTAAAGTGATGTTTTTTTAGCCATAAAATTTTTTCTGTTTATTTAAAACTATTTTGTGTAATTTTTTTTGTAATAAGCAACGGTTTGGTGTGCAGTTCGTGGCAATTGTGAGTAATCAATACTGTGGAACATCTGGAGCCTCAGTCAGTGAGCTGGTCCTGCTGGTCCCTGGCTGAGCTAATGTGTTCCAGACCAGTCTGTCTTTTCTTCCCTCTATCATTCATTCCTGACGCTTGTATTTTTTTTTTTCACTAGCTGTTAAAAACGATTATCTTCTATATTGATTCCACTTATTAAGTTGGGGGTCACTTTTTTCCGGGTTAATGGGAGGTTAGGAAATTAGCCACGCCTGAGCTCTGAGGGAATGAGAGCAGTTAAATATTTGTAATTTATCATGTGTTCATTTGGTGTACGGTGGATGGAGCAGGTTGTTTTTGTGACAGCTGTATCGATCAGAAAGAGCTATAACCATTAACATCAGGCAGTCAAAGAGCCGAGGAGTCAAATGTTGGGCTCCGGAGGCCTTTTCCTGTCCTGCCTGAAAATGATTGCAATGAATCTCCGAAACACGGTTTCAGCCATCTGCACGCATTGCTGTACACGATGGAGAGGTAATTGTCGGTAGTGTCAGTTAATGGATTAGGAAAGCCTGGGAAAAAAAAGCTCTCCCACTGCTCTGTATAAACTCGGGCTGTTTAATATTACCAGTAATTGAACCTGAGTGAGGCATGTGTTTAAGGTTCAGCTACGGTTTCACATGTCTTTGTTTTTATCACTAGCATCGCTGATGGTAAAGTAGATGTGACGTTTATTTTTTTGAATTATTTTCCGAGGTTTTTTGTGTGTGTACTTTTGGCTGCAATCGGTGGCATCTTCTTTTTTGCAGTAAACATGCTACTTTTGGGTTCCACTTTAACAGCGTTTCACATTTCAAATGGTCAAAGATTTCAGCCGTAGATGTTGTTGTACTGGAGAGAGAACCTGATTGAATAAAGGTTTTTTTTATTTTTTTATAATAACTTATTATGAGAATACAATATTGGGCTTAAGAACACTTTTACCAACTTATGCTGTTAGTTGAAGGACATCAGATCTGATAGAAATCTATATCAACAAGACAGATTTACCCAAAAACCAATCACAGCATCGCTGTTTTCCTTCTGTCTTCAGAGAATATCGAGTTTGGTTTTCCACAGCCTAAGTGTGTAGGTGTCAACACCATCAAATCTGCTGCTGCTGCTGCTGCTGCTGCTGCGAAGCTTTCATGCACACTTATGAATCATTACGGAACATTCATAATTAAAACCTTGACATCCTGCAACAGTTGATGTCCTGGTGGTTTTCTTTCACATCCTCTTCCTGTCCACATTTAAAAGTGTTTTAAGGTCCAGAAAAGGCCGGAGACCCGGAGACAGGTGTTGAGAAGCATCAGCGCTGTTGTTGTTAAACAAATGCATTAGCAGAGCGAGAAAGGCTGAACAGGTTTAATGCCTTTGTGAGTGTTTCTGCAGTAGCTGATTAGCTGTTTGCCCAGCTGTTAATTACACTGCTGCCGCTGATGTCGTCTGAGGCCGGGCCTTGTTTTTGCTCTGCCTTTGTAGATTATCTGTGTAAACGCCTGTTAAGGTCTCAGAGTCAGATGTAGGACTGACGTCGCATCAGGGTTTAAGTTCACTCCCGTTTCTGCACTGATACTTTAATTTGAAACTTGGTACGTTTTTGTATCTTCACACATTTAAATAACAGGAACATTCAGGCTTCAGCATGGTACGGAACAACTGGCTCTAGAATAAGTGCACCCTTAATATCAAGAGACGCACCGACTGCAAACTTTTTGACCGATACCGATTTCTGTTTGTGATTTGCCAATACTGATGCAAATTTCGTTTAATTCACATGACCACAAAGTATTTTTGTAAAAAGTCATTTTGAACTATTTTCTAAAAAGACACTTGGTCTCAGTTGTGCTCTTCAGTTCAACAACCCTAAAAATAAAGTACTTGGGGAGTAAAATGACGAGCAGGCCACTGACGTAAGGTGGTCACGGCTGGTCCTGCTCAACACTGGACGATTCTGTTCACAGACAGTGAAGATTGGTGATTCTCTATATAGAAATGAAATGAATAAGAAATGCAGAGAAGATTCAAGTGGATCTGAAAGGGAACACAGATGACTGGGAGGTTATTACATTTTACAAGAACACGTGAAGCTTTAAACCAGAGGTGTCAAACATACAGCCCTCCGGCCAAAGTCGGCCCGCTAGGTGAATTTTGAAAGTGAAAAAATACACAAACCATGTGTGTCCGTGATGTTTTTTCAAATGATATTTCATTCATATGTGTCCAGGATGTTTTTTCAAATGATATTTCATTAAATGAGTTTGACATCCCTGCTTTAAACAAACAAGATACATTTAAACTAAATGTAGTCAGACCAAAGACAACACCAGAACTTTTCGGGATCAAAAAACAAGCAGTGGAACGGTATTTTATTTTTGGTTTATGGCAAAGTAATGAAGAGTTGTTGTGAGTTTCCCAAATAAAATATTAGACTCAGGGTTTCCTCCCATCATGTGATTGAACAAACACACATGAGCTCAGTGACTAATACCCGACCAGACTCTGCATGATTCATTATCAGAGCTTGGATGACTGTTGACCTCTGAGGACGAGTGGCCTCTTCCTGTGTTAGGTCACTGCAGTCCAGAGACAGAAAGAAGTGCTTTTTCTTTTTCACTTGTCACTTATTATAACAGTTTGGTTTCACCTCAGGGTTTGGAGTAAGAAGCAGGTAGAAGAAGTTACATCCTGAAATTATATATAATATTATATATATATATAATTATAATAATTGCTGCAGTTTCTAATCCAAGTTGACAGAAAGAGTGAAGAAAACAAAAGTAGAAACGTGAAGAAGAGTTGAAGAAAAATAAAGAATGAGAAGAGTTATGGAAAAGTAATTTTTAATGACTGAGTGGTGATTAACGGCAGTTGATCCAAAACAGAAGCGAAGACGAACATTTCATGGGAAAGTGCTGAAGGAGCCTCTTGGGTCAGAGGTGAAACGTCACCGTCCAGTTGCCCTCGATGTAACTATTTTTGGATAAGACGACCTGGATGACTGAGAACCTACACAGACATGTGAAAGAGCTGTTGCATAATGCCTCATCATCCAGCAATTAGCAGCTTTTCACGCGGTCGTTAGCTCGGTGTCGGTTTGTTCTTTTAGAGGTGATTCGGGGTATTTTTCTTATGCGATGACTAAATGGATTATCAGTAGGGACTTTTGGTTAGAAATTCCTCTCTGAGGATGTGCAGAAGTGAAACTCCTGTACCAACTGTAACAGTAATAGTAACAGCAGTAACAGTATATTTTCAGTCTATTTATGGAAATTCCTCCTAGCTTCTCAGCACAGTCCCCAGTGGTATTGCTACTGATGGACAGCAGTAAAGGTTCAAAGGTTACTTTTTTTGCTCTTGTGTAAATAACAGTGTTGTGTGCGCCTGTATGTGGCTCTGCGCTCTACAGATCACTCAGACCTGCAGGTAAAGAAGTTCTTTAAGTGTTTTTGGTTTAGTTTTGGGGGTCGTTAACCTCCACTAAAACAAGCCTGGCTTCTGCACCCACCCCCCCTTTTCTGTTTGTCCTCAACCTTGTCCCCTCTCCCCCTCTGTGTGGTCTGTAATTAAAACCAGGTCCACCTCCTGGTGTCGTCTCAGCTGTGGTTCAGTGTTTCAGGAGGAACCACTTCTGCTCCCACACAGATTTAATAGGCTGTCAAAGTTTTGAGTACTTCATATAAATATTTTTTTTTTTTTTTTGTAATGTTTGATATAACACGTTAAGTTGTAAAATGTATTTTCAACAGAAGACATTTTTATGCAATTAATGCAATATCTTCCAGAGTCTATATGTAAACATGCGAAATAACTATGGCTGATTTTCTTTTCATAATTCAGCAGTTCTACAGAAACCTGGATAGATAACACACATTCTGAGCCTCAGGCACACATAGAGGT